CTGCTCTACAGTTGCCCAGATCACTTGCATAAAATGACTCTGCTGCTCTACATTTATCCCTGCTGCTTACCCACAGCAGGGCTAAATGTAGAAGAAAAACACCCGCCCAGCGGCCGGAACTGCATGTCCTGGGAGTTGGGCGATAGGAATTCTGACCTCTCTTTCATAAGATTAATTCAAGGGACACAGGTCCCACCCCTCTGTTTGCGATATACTCCTAAGTAGTGTTTTCTACAAAACTAGAGCATCCTGGGAGTAGGAGGGGTTATATCTGACTGGTCAGTGGCTTTTTTTCCCAGTGTTCAATTCCTTCTGCATGCGGCAGTACAGCCCAATCATATCAGAATAACAGAATCCTGTGTTCCTTAAGGAAGTTCAAGAAGAGGTTTTTATGGCAAGTACAAAAAAAAAGTTTTTTTACCGAATCTATAGACGCAAGATTGTTGCCTCGTGTCTTTGGCTAACGTTCTGTCCTTGTACACCAGTGTTATCGTGAGCCTAGTTGTGCCATTATGTTTGTTGCTACATCTGCTGGGTCAATGCAAGCAGGCTGTAATTTAAAAAAAAAAAAGCCTCTTGAGTTGCTGTAACGTTTAGTTGTTTTAGTATGATGCTGACCTTTTATCTTTGTCCAGTTAACTGAGATACATGTAACACCTTTATTTTCCCTGTGCAGGTTATATTTGCAACAAACTCTGAATGATACTGTAGGGCGAAAAATTGTGGTGGATTTCTTGGGTTTTAACTGGAATTGGATTAATAGGCAACAAGCAAAGCACGGCTGGGGCCAGCTGACTTCAAACCTGCTGCTGATCGGCATGGAAGGTAAGGTACCCAGCTATGTACTAGTAATGTATGCACACTTTTCTCTGTAGCCATGTGTGGAATGTCATCTAGCAGCTATAGGTGAAACCCATGCCATAAACCTGCTCGTATAAACAAATGACCCATTTGTCATAGGGTAGATATGGATTATATTTGAATGCTATTTCAGGACTGATGGGACATTCTTTTGTAACAATGACAACTGCTCTGCTGTCTATTCACAATCATTTATTTTTGTTCTAACAGTACAGATTTACAAGTGTATTTGTATAGTAAGATCATTCTACATATTCCAGTAAAACGGTGGCACGTGTTGATCTCCTGTGTACGTGTTCTAGCTCATGTTGCTGTTTGTGTACAGGAAACGTGACACCGGCGCACTATGACGAGCAGCAGAACTTCTTTGCCCAGATTAAGGGATACAAGCGATGTATCCTCTTTCCGCCCGAACAGTTTGAATGCCTCTATCCTTATCCAGTTCACCATCCCTGTGACAGACAGAGCCAGGTGAGAGCCACACTTTGGCAGGCTTGATTGCATACTACTTTAATTTGCTGAATGGTCATGTCAGTGTGCACGGTAATCTAGAGTCTTTGCTTTTCTTAGTTGTTGGTGATAATATGTAGTTAGTGTGATGTGTGCATTGCTGAGTTCATTTTGTTAAATTTTTATTTTTATTTTATTAATATTTTTTTGTTTAAATGACATTACAAATACCAAAAACAATATGTAAATATTAACATTAATGAAGCATCTCCATCTAACACATACAGTTTACAATGCTGGAAATGCTCAAATTACACTATCAAACTTGTGCATAAGTGCCACAGCTCTGTGTGTCCTGGTCAACAGATCACACCTTTAAACAACATAGATGTAATCATATAGACAAAGAAACATAGGGGGTGAGGGGTGGGTATGCATCTTTGGTCTTTTTAAAGTCACTGCTTGTTTCAAGACCGGTATTCAGCAGGTATCTGCTCATCTATTATGATTGATGTGTTCCATATCTCAGTCCGATGTAGTACACTCTGATACTGTCTCCAGGAGAGCTTTACATAAGTCAGAACTCTTAAAGTGTAACTAACTTGCCCAGTTTGACACATACAAAAAGTACCGTATATACTCGAGTATAAGCCGAGATTTTCAGCCCATTTTTTTGGGTGAAAAGTGCCCCCCTCGGCTTATACTCGAGTCAGCGCCAGCGCGTCATCTTACTTACCTCGCCGAGCGTCGCGTCACTGCTGCT